CAATTAAACCTGAACACTGAGGCTTTAGCGGTTTAGAAAAAACAACTCACGCATTAACGTCTTCTGTCTTAAAAAGAAAAATAACAGGCTCACCATAAGTTCGCCATCGCCATATAGAGTCTTCAGAGAGATGTGGGCTTTGGTTACCACATCCACCTTCATAAGTGGTAGACACTGGAGCAAGATATTAACTTTTTAACCTTTCGTGCAATGGAGTGTGTGTGTGTGTGTGTGTGTGTGTGTGTGTATAGAGCGAGAGACCACACATAATGCAATCATGTCTCAGAAAAGAGGATACATAAAAGATCATGTAACGTGAAAAGCTGGCCAGCACCTTGGGTATCAGGAGAAGGTGCATTAAATGTGCAGTGTGATATTTATGTCACAGGCACAGAGAGTGCGGAAGGGAAAGACAGACACCGAAAGCGGGTGAGCTTGTGGAGCAGCCGGAGCTCACATGCACTGCTGGGGAGCGAACAAAACGGAATAGCCTCTTTGAAAGAATGTTTGGCAGTCTCCTACGAACCAGGTTAAATATATACCTACCCTACGGATCAGGATTAGGCATTAATTGAAAAGAAGTGAAAATGTTCTCTGAGCCAAGGCTGGAAATAGCGTAAAGGCCCATCAACAACATGATGGATAAACCAGGATCTGTTCACATAAACAGTAAGTCCCGGCAGTAGGAACACGAAGACCACTGCGCACGCGAGCCAGGCGGCTCTCGACAGCATAATGTTCATCGGAGGGAGCCAGGCGCGGAGCAGAGCACACAATATGACTGCCAGCATACGCGGCGCGGGGATCCGAAACGAGTGGGTGGGGGGAGCTGAAACATGGTTGCCCACGGGTGTGATTGGCCAATGGAAGGACTAGGAAATTTGGGCGCTAGGAGGAACAATCCGTATTTGGATTGGCTAAGTGTGTACATTTATCAAATTCCGTCAGGTTGTCCTGCTAAGCTCTGTTCACTTTCTGTAAAGTTTACTTTGATAAAAATTTTTTAAACGTACCTCTATTGGAGGTCTGTCTGGGTAATTACAATAAACTTTGCTTCTCTGTTTATTTATTTTTAAACTTACAGATATATCGCTTATGCATATATTTTCTCTCCACCACCGAGTCTTTCTAATTTTTTACCTCTTTTTCAATTGTGGCAAGCCATTATTATTTTCACCCATTATTATTTTCTTGGAGGTAGAAGAAGAGGAAAAGATACCAATTCATAGTTTTATAAATATAACCAAATGAAGAGCTGACAGGATGGTTTGCGTTTTCCACCGTTTGCAGCAAATACAGTTCAAGTACACTTAGGTTAGAGCATCTTTCCTCTTTTCAGGACTTCCGGTGATTGAGTTCCATACTGCGCTTCCCATAGATTCAGTAGGATTGAAGGTCAAGGGAGCGCTTGTACTGTGCGTGACAGAGGAGCCAGAGATCTTTCCCCGAATCTTGACATTTTTCAAAGCTAAAATAGGTTGGGGGAGGACGAAGGAAGCCGGGTGAGATTGCGTAAATTAGCATGGCGCGACTTCAAATGAGCAGCTTGCTCTGTTAGATTTAAATTTTGGTGTTCCTTCATAGAACTGTCAGTCCCATATTGTGGGTTGTTATGCCCTTCCTTTTAGGTACCCTGCTACTGGAGGCTTGTTTGGAACATAGTCTGGGGACGTTTTCTAGGTGTTTGAGGGGAGACTTAGCTGGGAAATGAATGTGACAGGATTCCTCTTGTCTACCAAGAGCTTTCAAAAATCTGATGCATCAGGCAGGAACACAGTGTTATTTAATATGTGGAATTTTAACTGGATAGTTACCCCTCTCCTTTTGGTTTTTACTTATTTTAACCAATGGGCTACTTTCTAAGAACGGGGTTCGGGGTGCAGAAGACTGAGTAGGGAAGGCAGAGAGCTCCCATTGCTGCCTTCACTGCCCCTCCATCCCCCATCTTGTCCACATCTCGCTGAGGTGACTCCCTTCATATCATCAGTGCACTGATGCCGATGTGCTGCTGTCCGCTGAAGGCCCCGGGTCACACGAGGGTCGCATTCGGTCCTGGGCACCCTGGGGTTCTGTTCACGGTGTAGCCCGGTGTATGTTAGCGTAGAGCTTGTTCATCCGCTTGTCTAGAGAAGGACATCTCGGTTCCTTGCAGCTTTTGGCGGTTATGGATGAAGCTTCTGTGAAGGATTCTCGGGCAGGTTTATGAAGAGCTTTCTGCGCATTCACACAAATGCTGAGGCAGTCGCTCCTCTCCTTTTCAGCATGACGCTACACCTGCTGTTCTTATCTCATAAACTACGATTTGCCCTACATGGCTAACTCTCATGGCCGCAGCCTTCCAACTCACTTTCCTTTACCTCCACGTACCTTTCTGACACAAACAAGTCACACAGAATATCAGATAGGTGCCAACTAATTTTCTGAAACACCGAAGAAACCTCTCCATCTCTGCCCTGGCAGGCGTGTGGTCATCAGTGGAGGCGGCCACGCACAGCCCGCATGCCCGTTCTCAGGTGAAGCGCTGACACTCGCTTCTACCAAAGCATGACTGCCTTGTCACCTGCACGAGCCTTTCACTGGGGCAGTGGCGCTGCCCGAGGGAGTCCAGCGATGACCACAGGCACAGCTCCGGGCCCCTCAGTGTGTGTGATCTTGGACAGTCACCCAGCTTTGTGGCTGTCAGCACTCTCATTTGGGAAGTGGGCGGTGTAACAGTGCTCATTCCCCTGGCCCGGTGGTGCTGGGGAGTAGAGGTCATGTGAGCTAGTGTCTGCTGCGATGTGCCTGGCTCCTGGGGTGCAGTCTGTCCGCAGCGCTGATTCCTAGCCGGAGTGACTGAGGATGGTGACGTGTCAGCGGGAGAAGGCAGAACTTTTCACCTGAAGACTTAGCGCACACCTCCCGACAGCCTCTCTTCTCGCTGGCCACCGCTGCCGCTGACACTCAGACGCCTCCAGAGCTGCTCCTGACGCTGGTGTCTGCTTCTCCCACACACGGGCCGGCGGCCCCATCCACCTCAGTGCCTGCAGCTGTGAGGGTGCAGGAAACAGTTCCTGCCCTGTTCTCATGGCCGCTCACCGTGGTCCTCGGCAGCAGACACAGCCAGGCTTCCGTGGCCCTGTGGCCCCATGAGGGCGGGGGAGGTGTGTCCAGGCCGGGGCGAAGCAGTGGACTTCCCCACACCACGAGTGACTCTGCAGCCCTTCGGGCTCTGCTTCTCCCCATCGGGCTCAGAGCTGCTGGCAGGGCAGCCGCAGTGGGAGAAATCGTGACTCAGCTGCTGTGTTTGAGAAATAATCGGGGGCCAGTTAGACGGGCGCAGAGGCCCTGGAGTTGTCTGCTCTGTTCTCCTCTCACGAGCGCCCGCTAGTGCGGCTGTGACTTTCGTGGCTGTTGATTGACCTACCCTTGGACTAGTGCTCGGAATTCTACCTCGATGAAAGTCTTATTCCAGGATGGAGTGAAGTGGCAGGAATTTCCACGGCAAGTCCACGCTGGGGCGAACGAAGGCTCCGCTGGCTGCTCAGAGCCTAAGGACGATCCTGGAGGGCGGGGTGGGCTGGTACAAGATGAGAGCAGTGCAGGAGCTGGGCAGTGGGCGATCCAGCCTCAAGCCTGTCCCTGACACCGAAGAGGTCATGGCACAGGGCACCAGGAGGTCCCCAACCCACCTCCCCTTAGGATGCACAGGCTCCTGACTCCCATGGGGGAAAGAACCTCAGGACACATCAGCTAGAGGCATAAAGGGATTTTTATGGCAGAATTTAAAGGACACAAAGAAATAGTGAGGAGTCAGGCGTGGTGGCACACACCTGTAATCCCAGCACTCGGGAGACTGAGGCAGGAAGATCACTGTGAGTTCAGGAACAACCTGGGCTACATAGTGAGACCCTGTCTCAAAAAAAAAAAAAAAAAAAAAAAAAAAAAAAGAATTAGAGTGCGGGCCCTCGGGAGAGAGAGGGGTGCTGGGTGGGCACTGGGGCTTCTGGGTCTCCCATACGTGAGTTCCTACCTCCTGTCAGGTCGCAGACAGTTTACCTGCGTCTGAAGCTGAGGCCTGCTGCCCCCTCCTGTGATGCCCCCTGGAGGCCCAGGTCTGAGGGAGGAAGTATAATTTCAGCTGAGAAGCAGCAGGCCAGAGCCAAGTCTACAGGCTCAGTGTACCTTCAGGACTCTTGGGGACTGTTTGAGTTTCCTGGAAGACAAAAAGCCTTGAATAACTTTTGTGTCCAAAACTTCAGCTTTTAATAAAAAAGTAGTTTTAAAATTCTGATTTTCCTGTGTCCTCTCTACCTGTCTCTATTTCTTCTATCCTAACTCCAAGAAACAGCATGGATGACAGGGAAAGGAGCTGCAGCCAGCTGCCCCCCCGTGACCCCAGCTTTGGCACAGGCTGCTTATTTTTTCCAGCGAGGCCGTGGCTCTCTGATAACAATGCACCTCTGTCCCTGCGCTGCTGGCTCCACTCGTGCTGAAAGAGGAGGTGTCTGTGCTCACTGTCTCTCTTCATTTGGCTCCAGGGATTTCCCTCTGATTTGGAAACAATAACCTTCCAAATTCCGCCATAAAATCCACAGGAGGGAGGAGAAAACGAAGCTCCCAGAAAGTGTGTGTGTGTGTGTGTGTGTGTGTGTGTGTGTGTGTGGGTGGCAGACTGTGTGCTCTGCTCATGCACACGACATGATCCAGTCTTACAAACCCTAATTATCAGCAGTGCTGCCCACCATCCCTTTACACTGGTGAAATTGTGCCTGTGTCCCTCACTATGTTAAGTCACAGCCCGTGACCAGCAGGCGCCTGCATTAGCTGCTTTTTCCCAGGTCCACCCGAAACACTTAGGGTGCACAGCAGTTATCTCCTCCGGCAGCTGGCTTGCTTTCCTGTCCCGTGGAACTGGCCACTCTGGCATTTGCAAATAGAAGCTCGCTCAAGTGTCGCTAAAGGGAGGAGGAGGAGGAGCCAGCGGGCTTTAAAAGGGAAAGGGGAGTCATCCTGCTTCCCAAAAGGAGGAGCTGAGTCTGGGGAATAATCTCCAGCCTCATCCCAGGTGGGGGTTCTCACTCTCCACCAACTCTCTCCTTTCCCTGTTCGCCCAGATCTCGCCTCTCACAGCGAGGCAGCTGTGGGCCCCTCGAGGCAGTAGTGTCTGTTAAACTCTGTGAAGGCTGTCACATGGACGTCAGGTATTTCTTGCTGGCTTCCAACAAGACATAGATAAAGAAATCTTTTCTGGAGCATTTTCAAGCTGCATTCGGAGACTCTGCTAAGGCAAAGCAGTCCCTGGAGGGCAAGGGTGGGAGATGTGCGGGGGCCTGGTCGCCCGGCCTGCCCTATGCTCGCACCAAAGCGACTTCTTGTGATTTGAGGGTATAAGCCATGGAGACTATGCTGCTGCATGGCCTGCTGCTGCCCGTGGTTTTTAAGTTCGGTTTTGTTAGGGTCGCAGCACAGCAGCACCGGAGCTGTCCCGAAGGCCCCCTCCCGAGCCATGGGACTCCCGCCTGCATGGGTAAGTGACCAGGTTCAAAGGCGCCCGCACCTCCAGGCACGGGGCATTTGCTTTGCTCTCATTTTTGCTTCTCCGGTTTATCTCTGGGTGTGTATTTGCTTATTTTTTGATGATTTCCTTACTGACTGTTAGAGCTAATTTGCTGCCGAGTATAAAACTTCGTGGTTCTCAACTGCTCTGTGTGTGAGAGGAAATCTCATTTTCAGTGAGTTGAGCAGTTCTTTTCAGGGAAGCCTCTCTCTGCTCTAACAGGGGTAGCCACCCTGTCACTGATCAGCTTCACTTTGGACACGGGGAAACATGGGGCTGTGGCTGTGCTTGTTGTTTCTGAAACTGTCTCTGTTTAAGCTAGAAAGGTGAAAAAAGACTCCTAATTACTTCAGGGTAAGAATTCAGAAGTTGCTACGAATCAGTAAAAAAGCAGAAGGGAAAGGTGAGCAAAGGTGATTCTATCCTTATGAAAATTAACCAGGGTCAAGCTCAGAGCTGTTTCTGAAACTCTGAAGCTCTTGCGTTCTTAGTAACAGCTGTGTTGCAACTGAGAGCTGGTAAGAAATGATAATGGGTAAATGAACCACGGCCCCTCGCCTGCAAAAAGGGTCTTTAACTGAGGGAAAATGGGAATTTCCCTGAACGCAGGTCATCATCCTGCCTGACTCTTGCCTGAAAAGCATTCTGTCTCTTGCAGTGGATTCGAGTCTCCCTCCCTTGTAGGAGGCCAGGCAGCCACTTCCATCCGTCCCAGGGCACAAACACAGCCGGCTTCCCTGCCCTGCTCTTTACACATGGTGTCTGGCTTCCAGAGGGAGGGGTCGAGGACAATGCAGCAGTCACTCCAGAAGACAGCACACAGGAGAGGGAATCTGAGAGGTCACGCAAGAGACAGCAGGGGCTGTTGCTCAGGGGCCAGGGCCATCGCCACACAGGCTTGTGCTAGGGACTGAAGGAGGGACCGAATGTGAATCCTCCCACGTCCGATTACACTGCCATGTACACTGAGCAACATCTTGCTGAATGAGTGGGGAGCCCTTCCCTGGTCCCAGGGGTAACACCAAAGGCGGGGGGTGCATTGACAAAAGACAGAAAATGACGCCATGAACCTTGTACCCGATGTTGGAGGCAGAGGTCACAGTTCAGTCAGGTGGACTGGGTGTCTTGGGATGGGTGAATTTCCCTGAGAAGCTGATGTGGTCGGTGGCGGTGGGAACCACGCGGGAAGCCAGGGCTGGGAAAGAAGAACCCAGGTCCCCAGAAAGGGGACAAATCGCAGAAATAGCATTTCAGGGCAGCGTGCTCTCCCGCGACGGTGGCCGCCCTCGTGCTGCAGGGTGAACTTCTTTTCCTGCTTTTACTTGGCCCAAACTTGCTCTGCAGAATGCGTTTCTTTCCCTACCTTCAATAAAACTTTGCTACCATCAGAAAAGAAAGGAAAACATTTTATGCATAGTTCTAGGGTCTCAGGAAATGACCAGAGCCTCGAGCTCCTTGCCCCACGAGTGCCTTTGCTGAAGCCCGCCCCAAACCAACCTGAAGCTCGGGGTAGAGGCAGATTCGGGGGTTTGCCATGGGGTGGGAGGGAGGCCGGCTGTGAGCAAACCCACCTGGCTTCGCTCACGCTGCCCTCTTCAGAGCTGAGTTACCATGCGGACCGCGGGGAAATAACCCCGGCTTTCGGGACTGCTGCGGAGACGGCCCTAGCGCAGAGCGCCGACCCCTATGCCGGGCGCTGTCTCTCGGCTTCATCAGCGCGGTGAGGTGACGCAGGCTCTGCAGTGTGCTGCGTCTGGGTCGCTCAGGGACCTGGCTCCTTGCTGGCTCATCTCTCTCCAGTCACGGTTCTCAGCCCCTGCATTACGCTGTGTCCCATGTTGGCTGGCAACTGCCCGGCCACACCCTGTGGCCCTGCATTTCCGAGGGTAGCATTTCCCTCTCCTCTAAATAGATTGGTGGCTTCATCTGCCTTCCCCTCCCCCACCTGCACCTGCCTGGCCCTGGCCCTGGCCCTGAAACAGAGGCCACCAGGCAGCCAGGCCCGACCGGCGGGAGGACGCCCTGTGGTCTCACGAGAGCCAGGTGAGTGAGGCCAGGTCGTTCTTCGTGTGTTCCCTCTCTAGAGGGGCTGGGCGCCCACAGGGAATCCGGTGTTCTTGGGGTTCTTCGTCCTCCTGCGCTGAAACCGAGTGTTTGCTTGGCTTCTGTTGAAGCTAAAGACAGTGAGGAGAGCATGAAGAAAATTGCTGGCAAGTGGCCTCCGAACTTGCAAGGTCTATTTGCCTTGGAGGACAAAGGCCAGTGGAAAAGGAGCTGTTCCTGTCTGGCGTCTCAAGCTGTGTCACTTTTATGAGCGCTCTTGGTAAATGAAGTCAAGGAAGAAGTGGAGCCTCGGGGCTGGCTGCAGGAGGTGCGGAGTCAGGCAGCTGAGCAGTGAAACACGGACCCCAACGCCGGTGCAAACCCAGTAATTCCTAGTAATTTCGAGTCTTGTTTTCAGCCAGAGTTATGCCAAAGTTATTTTTGTCCTTTTAAAATCTGACTGCAGAAATGGCAGAGTGGCCTTTGAGGTACTCCCGTGACTGCAGCTAACCCCCAAATACTGAGTGGTTTTGGACTTCAATTCCCCTTAATGGAAAAGAGGATAAGTGTGGGAGAATCGCAGTCTGCCTGGGTTCAAACCTCGGTCCTGCGGCTTGTGAACATTGTGCTTCATTTTCCGTACTGTGAGATAGAGCTAATGATACCCTCCTTCTGGGGCTGCAGCCGGTGTTGTGTTGAATATTCGATGCTGGCTTCCAAGGAGAAGGAACTGCAGTTTTCCAGAAATTGCTATGTTCCATGAAGCGGGCATAGTTTAGCTTCAGTTATTATTCCAAATTTGAGCAATCCGAGAGCTGCTAGCAAACAAAATGTTAGTTTTGTTATGTGTGGTTTCCAGTGCTAGAACTGGCACCTGAGACCTAGCCCACTATTGGTGTGCACTGATTGAGTGTAAAGCCCCTGCAAGTGACAGGATGGAAAGGGCCCTCCAGGAAATTGCTGCCTCTCCTGCATTCAGAAGAGCACCACCCTATCTGCAAAGCTTTGTGCACTAAGTGGATTTCATTCATGGGGTGCAACTATCAATGTATTGGCTAGCTGGTTGCTAGGATACAGAGTCCTAGTAGCATCCTGGCTGAGGCCTTGCTCTCCAGCACATGGTGCGTCAGCTCAGAAATTCTAGGTGAAATTTCCAAACCTTGAAATAGACTTTCAAAGACGCCATCCTTGTGTAAACAGGTCAAAGATGGAAACAAACTCAACATTGTCATGATCTACACGTGCTGACCCATAGCAGAGGCTGCTTCCTGTTAGGAGGTTTACGAATGGGCCTAGAGGAGAAGAGACCACTGACTGGCTGGCGTTCTCTCCCTCCTCTCTCCTCGCTCCCTCCAGGGCACACAGAATTGTTTACTGTATAATTCTCACATTAAAGGAATTAACCTCTCCTTGGTGTACAAGGAAACTGCCAAGGTAGTTTTCCTTGATGCTAATTCACTCAGTAAGGGAATGTATGCCTTTCAGATTCACGCAATATTACTTAGAACCTTAATGCTCCAAATGATCTGAAGATCAAAAGCATCATCATATTTTGGAAAACAAATTTGAAAAAATATACTGAAACTTTTACATCCCCTGGTTATCCTATTCACATTATTCCAATCGCGGCAAAGTTTTCATGTGAGAGGAGAATACAAAATATGTAAAGAAAAGTTTCCATGTAGACTCTCAAAGCATTTAGAAAGTGCCAAACTATGCCCACAGGAGGATGACAGGTGACCGCTTTCAATATTGATATCTTCCTAAACAAAGCTATAAGCAGCCTGTGCATGTCTGTCTTGGTGCATAGGAAATCCCCAGGAAATATCCAGGAAACAATGAAACACAGGTGCATCCGAAGGAGAGTGGGTTCCAGTCGGTGGTCACAGAAGTGGATTGGTTTGCAAGGGGCCGTCCTGGGCAGGTGGCTCCAGGGCCACACTTCCTTTGCACCACACAGAGGACCCCCTCTCTTCCTTAGTCATGTGTGGCACCTGGCCCACCATGGCAGGTGTCAGCCTTGGATGCTGGTGAAGTCTGATTGGATTGCTCTGAAGACTAAGTGAATTAGTCCACATAGACTGCTCAGAATCTTGCCTGTTATGTCCTGAGTTAGGACTAATTGGCTGCTAGTCAAACACTAAGCCAAGGTACATCAGATAATGCCTCTGCTTTTTGTAATTTTTCTAATACATGTCCTTCAAATTTCCTACAATGATTAGAGTAAGTTGAAGTTCTGCTTTCCTGGGATGAGCCAAGCCCTAACAATCATCTTACCAGGATGCTCCTTGTGATTTGTTATTATCCTTGATGGTAAAATATGGCACAAAATCCCCAGGTAGTTAATTTTTCCTAAATATGTTGCCATCTGTCACACATGTCTTTGCATACCAGGAAAAGTATGTAAATATTTTTCTGTATATTTTTACAGCAATAAGCACACCTAGGGATCAGAAATTAGCATTGACCGGAGTGGGGTTGGTGAGAACAGTGAAACTGGAGCCAGGAAACATGACTTCAACACTGCTAGTTTTCTTTAGTCTATTTGTCTAGAAACACTCAGAACATTTAGGTAGGTAAATATTTATGTGTGTAGCTTTGCAATTTGCTGAACGTTATTTAAAGACACCAAAAGAACAAAGTAACTGTGTTAAATACAAACAAGACTCATGTCAAATCTTGTACCTCCAATACATTTTCTGGACTGTTCATCAACTGACTGATTTTTTAGACTTCTTTCTGTGTAGAGAGTGTCTAATGTCACTCAGGACGCTGTTTGGTTTACGGGGTTGTTTTATTTCCTTTTGGAGAGCTCAGAATGACACATTATTGATTTAATATTTGAAGTTTGGAGAAGTAGAGAGAAGGCAACATTTCACATCAAGCCGAGGTTAAGATTAATACCATTGATTTAGGCATTGACCACA